TGGAAATGGCGCCGGATGGGCCCGGTCTCCCGCCGCGGCCTCGCTTCCTCCGCAGTCTCGGCAGGGTTACCTGGGCTGGCGGGACTGTGAGCGACTTCTGACGCAGATTCCCAAGGTGAGAGAGGCTGGACCAGGGGGAGGAAGTGCAATGGCGACGGAGGCGCTCGGCTCCCAGATCCAGGACAAAGGAGGCAGGCGGCCTCCTTTGTGGTCCCGCCACCCGATGGCGAAGGTTTTAAGCCAGGCTTGGCTGCGGACGGGAAGGGGGGGTGCCCGGAGTTCTCGGGTCTCCGGGACAACTAGATAAGCCGAGAGTCTGCGGGGAGGAGGAAAGGACTCTTAGCCGGCCCTTAGAGTCCAGATTTGGAACTTCGAAAAGAGTACGTACTCGTTTTCCAGAGGGATTTGTTTTTTCTTTCCACTCCTAGACATTTATAAAGAGACTATAAAGATTTTGTGAAAAGAAAAATGTCGACAAATCAATCGGGAATGTGAAATGGGCTTGTTTTAAACAAGTCGTTGGATCCCAGTAAATTGTGAAATTGTGATGCCGCTTTTTGGACTTTGGGGCGAGGTTGGGGTGGCTTAACATTGATTTTTTTTTTTTTTTTGTAGTTTGGCAAAGTGGGTTAGAATTCGTTTCAAAGTTTTATTTGGGGGAGACAACTGTTAAAACACAACCCGTGATGGCAAACATTTATATGTTGAGAGGTTGCTAACTTTCCGTTCTAAATCTCCAAGGGTGGTATTTTTATAGGTCCCCCACAAATGCATTTAGGACTATGGGAGTCAAATACTTCAAAATACAGTCTATTTCCTTTTGTTAGCAAAGTAGGATTTTTAGAAGTACTGTATACTGATGCCTTGAATCAGGAGCTAAGCAGGTTAGATAACTCATAGGCCTCGTCATTTGGTGGTGGGGACTTTTTAGTCCTTAGAACTAGAGAAGTATATTGGTAATTTTCATTGAATATAGTACAAAAAAGGACAGGCAAGAGAAAACAAGAGTTTCCTGTAACGTATATACGTACGAATTTGTTATCTATTTTTCTAGCTTTAAAAACAAACCCCTACTGCCAGTCTATGTTCTCTGATTTAAGATTGCTAAAGAAAAGTTTACCAAAGTGTTTGAAACAGTAAGATTGTAGTGGACTTCGAAAAGACAACACAGACTTTCCTGTAAAGCAACAACTTTTCCTTTTTTAATTACATGACGTAACTTTTTTTGCCCTCTTTAATCTGTGTCATAATCTGGAGTTTTGGTTCTCTAAGATGATGCTTCCTAACAGCCTTGGGATGTAATTCATGAACTGTCAGCTTCTCCCATTTATTTATTTTTTCAGTAGTGAGGATTAAGTCCAGGACCTTCTCATGAGCTGCATCGAGAGCCCTTACATATTTACATTTATTTGTTTATTTTTGTGATGGGTGTCCCTGTTGTAGTTAGGCTTTCCTTGAACTCACTATATAGGCCAAGCTGGCCTTGAACTGAAAGAGGTTCTCCCACTTCAACCTCCCAAGAGCTGGAATTACAGGTGTGTTCTACCACACCTGGCTAGCCCTTTTTATTTTGGGAGATGAGTCTTGCTAAGTTGTGCAGTATGGCCACAAACTTAGTCCTCCTGTACTTTCACAGCTGGCTTTAATTTCTCCCACCTAAATACACATTTCAGTGGATTTCCTTCAGAATTCTGATTTTAGAATATTCTTTATCATCCAAAAAGATAACTAGTTACTTCATAAGTTGACACTCCTTTCAAGCCCTGGACAGCCACAAATTACATTCTGGTAATTACAAACATTTCATATAAATGGAGTACAATATGTGAGACACCCCCCCCCATTTAGGAAATTACAAAGTTTCATATAAAATGACTAAAATTAACCACATACTTCAACTACTGATATATTTAATTGGTGCTAACATTTGGAGGTTTTTGTTTTTCAAGTGGGGGGTTTTGCTTCTGTCTCTGGAGTAACTGGGTCTATAGGCAGGCAAACCCTACTGACACCTGTTTAATAAAGTATATTCTTAAAACAGTACAAACTAGCTGTGACATTGTTGCAGAGGAAGGTCCACGTGGCTTTAGTAAATTGTTTAGGCAGTTTCTGAAAGCTTTTTTGTGTATGTCTTTAGTTTTCCTTGTTCTGTAGAATTCTAGACTTGGTTTTGAAAGGATATAGTGAGGGAACAGCATGTTTTCAGTATATACACTTTGTACACGCGGGATTGAAAATCAATATAAAAAGAGTTTGTTTCCTGTCTGGCTAACTTTTCTGCAGTTAAAAATGGTGTTAATTTCTTGGACTTCACTGGGTGTAGTGGCTGATGCCTGTAATTCCCACACTTCGAGGTTGAGGTAGAAAGATGAGGCCAGCCTGGATTATATAGAGCCTGTCTCCAAAAAAATTTCCTTCTCCCCTTCCCTCCCTCCTTCTCCCCCCACTCCCTCTCCTCCCACTTCTTCCCTCTCCCCCCACTCCCCCTGGAGGAAGAAAAATTTATTGGCTCACCTATTTGCAGAGGTTTCAGTTGAGAGTCTGCTGGCTCCAAGGCAGAGTGGCATGGCAGAGCGGTATCACAGAGGAGAAATAGTCCTCCACAAGCAGCAAAGAGCAGGTGCAGCAGCTGTAGCAAATGCCTAATGGGCTGCTTAAAGATACTTCATTTGTTATGACTCTTACTTGGTATAGGCTGATCCAAAAATCAAAGTTAGTTTGCCTGATACTAATTTTGTAAAGTGGGAGATAAATCGGTTTCCTATCTTTTTGTATTTGCTTCTAAAATACAAATCTGTATCTTGCATTGCATTCTTTTTGTTTTGTTTTGGTACCGGGGATTGAACTCAGGACCTTGCGCTTGCAAAGCAGGCGGCAGAACCACTGACCTAAATCCCTGGTCCTGCACTGCAGTCTTTATGTCAAAAAAAAAGTTATCATGAGGAAGTGATATTTGTGTGTGTGGTTTGGTTGGTTGGTTGGTTGGTTTTTGGTAGCGGGGATCAAACTCAGGACTTTGTGTTTCTGAGGCAGGCGGCTGCACTGAGCTAAATCCCTGGCCCAGAAGTAATATTTGATGTTAAATGCTTTTTTCACTTTTCCCTTTCTCTTCTTAAATCATCCTTTATAGGAAATATTTTTTTCTTAGATTGTTACTATGCTTAAAAAATATATTTTAAGAAAACTGGAGGTCTTAAACATCTCTGAACCACCGCCACTACCCGCCCTGCAGCTGATTTGGTTGGGCCTTCTCCTTTCTGAACTACTCTAGGATAGTAAAGCATTTGTTGACTTTGGAAAAAGATTATAGTTCTTCCATTCACAACTCAGTTTTCTGTCCTTTAAGGTTCAAGTATTTTGTTTGTGGAATAGCCCACTGATTTTGCAAGGCCCCTAAAATCCATTAACAGTTGCCAGTGGTGGATGTTTAACTGTGAAGTAGCACACCAAACACTTCTTGTAAGTACATCTTGTAACAGTCTGGTGAAGTGAGGGTATTACTGCTATTCGTTTTACAGTTGAATGGACTTAGTGGTAGTTTATTTAAATTCAGTAGCCAGTGAATGGCAGAATACAGATTCAAGCCCAGGGTTTCTTTTGTCTTAAAAGTTCATATCAATTGTGTGCATAAGAATTATTTGTAATGTTAGTTTAAAAAGTCCTGTTTTGTCTGGAGTAGCACTCGGGTCTTTGGTTTTGGGGGTGGAATGTAGATCAGTGGGGCCCTGGATTCAATCCCTAGCCTGTACACATGCAGGCAAAAGATGTTGACAGTGATCCATATGGAGAGATGAGTTAACTACTTTGGAGAATTTCTACATTTACTTAATTTAGTGATAAATTGTAGGAAAAAGAAATGTTTCCCTTTGTAGATACTTCACTAACAGTTTCACTGATGACGAGGTATGTGGAATTGAGCATTAGTAAATGCAGTTGATGTGAAATATGATCTTCAAGCTTAAAGGAATCAAGTGAACAAATTGTTTTGTTTACAGCGGAGAAAGTGGTGAGGGAAAGGTTTGAAATACTCAGGTGAGTAGGATTCCTACAGCTGCATAGTGAAATTTATAAGGTCTGGTAAGTTTTTGCAGCTGAAGGACTTCTGCATTGCCCTCTTTTGAAAATGTTTGCAAATTTTAAAGAATGGTTGCCTGTTGGGTAGAAAACTGGGTGGATGGGTTCATTTTGGGGGGGAATGGGTCGTCTTCTGAGCTTTTTTTTTTTTTTTTTTTTTTTT